GGCTACTTTTATTTTGAGTTCGAGAAATCACTCACTCGACCATCACGTCCACGGGCTACATTACCTCGAGTTCGAATCATTTACTCGACGACTAAAGCCTACGAGCTACTTTTATTTCGAGTTCGAGCAATCACTCACTCGACCATCACGCCCAAGGGCTACATTACTCAAGTTTGAATCATTCACTCGACGACTAAAGCCTACGGGCTACTTTTATTTTGAGTTCGAGCAATCACTCTCTCGACCATCATGCCCACGGGCTACATTACTTCAAGTTCGAATCATTCACTCGACGATTAAAGCCTACGGGCTACTTTTATTTCGAGTTCGAGCAATCACTCTCTTGACCATCATGCCCACAGGCTACATTATTTCGAGTTCAAATCATTCACTCGACGATTAAAGCCTACGGGCTACTTTTACTTCAAGTTCAAGCAAAGCACAACTCAACTATTACGCAAGTTGATTATATTTCTTCAAGATCGAATCACTAACTCAACTAGTAAGCCCAAGGGCTATGTCACTTCGAACAAATCAATAATAGAGTTTACAAAGTCCAAATTTGATTGAATTATTAAGATCCTTGTGAAAACATTTGTAAAGGCACGCATAAAGTCTGCACAAATCGGCCAAAGTTGTCTATATACAAAAATTTCTACATGATTACAAACATAACTATGGACTAATATTCCTGATCACCCTCGGATCCGCTCTTGCTACCGTCATCGTCATCATCATCGCCATCAGAAACCAAGGCTTCAGCTTCAGCTTCGAGCTCTTTAGCCTTTTTTATTTCTTCAGTAAGGTCGAGCCCCCAAACATGTATCTCCTCAAGGGTCTCCCTCCGAGACCTACATTTGGAAAGTTCGGCAATCCAGTGTGCTTGGGTGTCGGTAGTATCTGCCGCCTCTCGTGCCTCAATCTGAGTAGCCTCGGCATCAGCCCAATACACGGCAATGGACTTATCCACCAAGATTTTAGACGACTCAACCTCGGCCTTGGCCTCGGCAAGCTGGGCTTCAAGCTCATCGATCCTCTTAGCTTGAGCCAAACTCTTTTGCTTTACATTTCTAAGCTAGACATCAGCCGATAATAAGTTGGTCAAAATGGTCTCTTTTTCCACAGCCATGCGATCGATAGTCTCCTTCCACCGATTACATTCGGCTTTGATTTGATCGACTTCTTCCCGAAGTGACCCGATCATTTCAACCTTTTGCTGCAGCTGAGACAACGAAGGTTTAACTTTCACAGTCGAGTCAAACCCATACTTTAACAGAACGAGGCTCACCTGCTTGTCAAGTTCGGCCTCTTCTTCGTGAGCCTTAGCCAAATCCGCTTGGAGGTCCTTTATAGCCTCGTCCTTTTGGCTGCAAAGAAACCGCAAGGCGTCTCTCTCCCCTGAGACCTTCTGAAGCTCGACCTCACACTGGCCAAGGTCGACCCGAAATCTACTAATGGCCTGCACAGTAGGGAAAGAACACGAGTCAAATTCGGAAAAAGAACAAAGAAACCAAGTATAGTAAAATTATTACCCGAGTAATGAAACGTTGGGCCTATTCCAGTAGAAGAAAAGCGTCCCCGATATCGGAAGCATCACCGACTCTGGTAAAGCAATCCCGAAAGGGATCCCCTGCACTAGAGCCTCCGCCCATATCGGGGGTATTCAATTCTCGAGCTTCCTTTAACGCCTCCTAAGAAAAGGTGGGAAGAGAAGGCAAATAACCCACTGTCATAGTCCCAAGTGAATCACTCGGGGCGTTCCGATCAAGACTCGGGATCCCGGAATCAGCCCCGACCGGTACAGCTGCCATCGGTTCAGGAGCTTCGGTGACCTCGATAGCTCTGGCATATCGGGACACCAAGGCCGAAGCACCTCCTTTTTCCTCTTCTTCTTCTTCTTCTTCTTCGTATTCTTCTTCTTCTCTCAGTCGTTGGACCGAGTCAATCAAAAAGACAATTGCTTTCCTCCTCGCCTTTCGAGTTTCGGGCTTGGGGCCCTCTGATCGAGAGGCAACTTTGCGCTTCTTGTCTTTCCCTGGTTTCGGGATTGGGGACTTGGTTCCTTCTTCACCGCTCGAAGGCCTCAAAACGGCATCCTTGGTTATGCTTGCATGAAAGGAAATCGGTAACGAATGGAGTACAAAGAGCTTCGAAGGAAACGAGAAATAAAACCTTACCATGGTTCTTGGCTTCCCATCTACCTTTAGCCAAATCACGCCAAGCGCGTTCGGCATAAGAGGAAGTCGAGGCTAACTTCCGAACCTAATCCTCGAGGTCGGGCACCGCTTGTGGCATCCAAGGGTCAACTATATATCGGGAAGAAATATAAAAAAAAAACTTATTTATGAAAACAACTTACGATCGAAATTCCATTCCTCGGGGAACGACATCTTCTCTTCCGGAATAAGGTCACGGGTCCTCACCCGGATGTAACGCCCCATCCAACCCCGATCCTTGTCTTCGTCGATGCTCGACATCAAAGCCTTCGATGCCCGACGATGAAGTCTGATTAATCCTCGAAAGATTTGAGGCCGATACAACCGTATGAGGTGATTCAGGGTAAAAACCAGCCCCCTGGCTTTGGTGGAGAAGAAGCGAAGTAGGATTACTATACGCCACACAAAGGGATGAATCTGACCAAGGGTGACCTGATATCTCTTGCAAAAATTGATGATCACCGGGACGACCGGATCCAATATGAAGGGATAAGTGTAAACACTTAAAAACCCCTCCACATGGGTGACGACACTCTCTTCGGGGGATGGAATTTGCAACACAACCTCGGAACCCCAGTTACAGTCTTTTCTAATGGCCTCGAGATGACCCTCCGTTATAGAGCACATATACATCGACACGTGCTCGCATCGACCCGGGACGGATGAAGGATTCTCAACCTTAAAATCGATCTTTAGAGTATACGAGCCTGGGATATAGTCATAGGTGGACGGCTCCACCAGCGCCTTGTCGCCGGACGGCCGTTAAGAAGAAGTTTATTCCTTCTGAGGTAAAGTTTTTGAAGTCTTGGCCATTGATATAGGAGGAAGAAAGACAAAGAAAAGTGAAAAATTGACGGCACCTAAACTCTGGTAGCAACAAGAAAGGAAGAAAAGATGAGAAAATTTGGGGGAGTGAACGCGTGAAAGAAGTAAACGATAGATGGAAGAGCTATTTATAGGCTCGCATTGTGACGGTTCAATATCACAGGTGGCCGACCGCCATCTAACAAGCATTAAATACCTTGAAAGGCTGAATCGATAGGACAGCTATCACATACGTCATAATCGATCCCTGTGAAAATGTCGGCTTATGACCCGATCGAACCACTAAAAATCACGTCGATTCTCACCGCATCCTTCATGAGAAACGAGGGGACTATCTGTATACGGTCGAAATAAATTTCGGTCTTCCTACGTTCGATCGAGTTCGAGTGTTAAAAAGTCGGAATTAGATTTTTGGGAGTGAGCTCCGAAGTCGGTACTAACGAGCCTCAAGCCCGAAGGTCGATCGAGGAGTCGGCTCGATAACCCTATCGAGCCCGTGGCCGAATCGATCCGCAAGACACTACTTCGAAGTTGGAAATGCGTGATGCCCATCTCGAAGGTCGGACTCGAGCCAAGACCGAAAGGCCCAACCCAGTAACGAGCTCGAGCCAGTATCGAGCTCATAGACAAGAGCCGTTGCGACCGCACCAATAGAGAGAATCTTGGCGGGAATCAAGAAAGAGACAAGTTATCATGGACCTTCCACTATATGTTTTATTTTATTATTTTTTGTAATAACCCTCTTCTATAAAAGGAGGAATCCTTGTAAGCTAAAAGGTAGAGACAAAAACAAATCACTTCTCAGATTGAAAGATATCCCTTTGTGTTTGCTTTACTTTATCTCATTTATTCTTATTGCCCACTATTTGTATTCTCATAGTCAAGAATATACGTATCTCTATTTCTCTATACGATTTATATCGAATTGTATCGCATATACTTAGAACCACACACAAAATCTAACGTTATTATCTGATTTTTCCGGTAACACAGACATAATTGTTAATATGCGTATACAACTTAGTTCGGTAGCATATGTATCCATCCCTTCTGAAGATCTTTAAATCTCAAGTCATTTTAATTATAAAATTTGGTACTTAATTTTGGTGCAGTGGAAATTTGGCATTGAAGTCACGTGAAAATGGACAAATAGGTAGATCCACGCTTGATTTTAATCAGTTCCTCTTTAGGTGGTGACGGTACAAAAAGATACTATCTTGTTTCAAGTGTCAAAATTAGTTAGGTCTTCACGACTTCAATTTTGACTAGTAAAAAAGCCCCTGTTCCAAAATTTCCTTCTTTTGAAAAACAATTGTTCTGGTTGCCCCGTTTGTTATTCGGCTTTGCACCATCAATGGCAGCTATGAACTGCGCAACCAAAGTAGTTCACCAATATGAGTGTTAAATGTCACTCCCTACTCTCAAGATTCATCCATAATATATCAGACTACAGTACATTGGGCATATCCCATTCATAAGTTTTACACCAAAATACTTTGGCTCATATGAATAATCATATTCAACAATTCAATCTCAATTCTCCCAAGGGACACTGGTTAACCAAGAGGTCATAATTCAAAACACAAGTTTTGGTAGGATGACTTAGTTTTGATCTAATCCTGTCTAGTTAATTCATTTCAAAATATAATGTCATGAGTTTAAATCAGCGTCACAAGTTTGAACAAAACCGTCTAAAACATTCCCTGTTTGCAAACGTAAATAAAAAAATACGATCCCCTGAAATTTGGACAGCACATAAATGCACCCACAAGAATTGAGTATATTAGACAAATAATTCTCCTTATAATAAGGTCAAATTCACAAATTTCTAGGTAAATTTAGATTTTATCAAAATATTGATGTTTCCAAGTATTAAAGCACCAAACACTTTGTTTCATTTATTGTTCTACACTGACATTGGAGGAAAACATCTACTACTATATTATAGTTGAAGAAACGTCAAGAAAATCAATACTCGACCAGAGCACATAATATATAAAGCAATGCCAAGATTAAGCAGCGCTGCACATTTTGCAGCTACTTATCAACTTCGTCCATCTTACAGAAACACGTTTTGAGTAACAATCTACACTACATTGTTGTAATTGCTTCTTTCAAAGCATCTCTTATCCTGTATTACAACATTAATTTAGCACATAAAATACAAACATACAACATTTGATCATGTTTCTTTCTCTTCTCCTAATCCACCCCCAACCAAGCACGCAATCAAACAAATAAAAGTGGGGATTTTTGGTAATAAATTCTCCCAATTACGAGTCATTAATTTAAGCACAGCCACGAGGAGCAAATCCTAAGCGAGAACCAGCAAGATCAAACACTACCCTAAAACCTTGCTGTTGAATGTTTCCAATAATTGATAATCCACTCATTGTACCCGCAAATGCGAAGCAGAATGTTCCATCACTGTCCACCGGAATCAAGTAATTCGACGCCGGCAATGACACCTCAGCTCCCTTGAAATGCAGAACCACCGTCGGAACTTTAACTTCCGTCTTCCCTGACAGATCAAAACACGTGTCGAACAACGAGAAATCCGGTGCTCTCTTCAGATTTGCAGCACCCATTCTGAAAGAGTCCCTCAGTGCCACGTAAGCGGGTCGGGTCAACCGGGTCACTGAAGTTCCTGAATCCACTATCACCCCACCATCACCGGCTGCGTCTAGCTTGAACAGTGACGGCCTAATGGATGGAACCCTAGTGCCGCCGACGCTGATTCCGGTGAGCTCCACGTAGTAAAAGGTGTCGAGTTTTGGGTTATTTACGAGTGGGGTAAACACGGCGGTTCGAGAGACAGCTGATTCACCGAAAACTATGTACGACGGTCTAGAGGAAGCAGAGCGGTCCACAAGGCAGTAAGAAAATTTCCGGCCGAACCGCCGACCGGCTTGAGTCGGAAATGACAGTCTTCCCCGGCCGAGACCGAGTAACCCGGCGGCTCCCACGAATAAACCTTCATTATCGTGGCCGCATCCAAGGGCCACGTTGTTTACACGTGTCTTACGGAAAGTTAACGTTTCAGTTGAAAAATCACCGACGGTGAAAGAACCGTCGCCGTATGAAACTTGGTAAAGGCACTTCTTGCGGTTACAGCCCGGAGAATCCAACCGGCGGCACAAAGGGGACCCACATGAAACACCAAGGAAGGAGGTGGATTTAGTCGGGTCAAAAACCGGGTCGGATTGAGTGTAGCATTTCTTGCAAGGAGAACACTGGATCCAAACGACGTCACTTCCAGTGTCCAACACCATGTAAGCATACTTGGGAGGAGTGCCAACACCAAGGCGCGTGAAGTACTCGCCACTACCCTGAGCGAGTCCAGAAGTAACAGAACTAGAGAAGTCCCTACTGCCGACAACATGGTGCCCTCCGCCGCGGCGGCCGACGGTGATATTAGCTGCAGCGAGATCTGAAAGTGCCTTAGCTCTAGCAGCGTCACGTTGGAGACGTAGTTTGAACAAAGCGTGAGGTGTAGCATTGAAGGATGAAGGAGATACTAAGTCGACGTGATGCAACTGTACAGAAAGTGTGGTATCCGGATCCGGGTTTGACCCATCGCCGGAAAGTTGGGCTTCGAAATCTTCGGTAGCCCATGAGAGGGACTGAGGTTCGGAGTTGGGAAGGGAGTTCAAGACTAATGTTTGGTATTGAGGGGAAGTGGAAGACACAGAAATGGCAAAGAGGGAAAGGAAAATGGACGGGAAAGTGAAGAGGAAGGAAATGGAAATGGGTTTTTCTTCCATTTTACAGAGATTTGGGGAAGGAAAAATGGTGAAGTGATAGTGGGAAGGGGAGAGCATTGGGAGTATAAATAATGGGGTGACAAAGACAGTGGATATTTTGGTCTCGTGTGTGTCAACTGTGGCGGTGATGTATGTAAAAGAAAAAAATAAAAGAAAAGAAAGGTTGTTTCTTGTTCGGAGTTATACGTTGGATATTTTTACTACAACACCATAAGTATGTATGGTCTAATAAATAATCTTAAGCTAAAGATATGCATCTTTCTTCCTGTAAAGTGCATGGGTCAATATAATAAATTTCAGTTTATAATTAATTGAGCTTTATTTGATCAGTCAGCGAGCCTATGGAGCCAAGCAAGAGTCATGTCTACCAAAGATAATCATGTGGTATAAGATTAGGAGTGAGTTTAGTTAAGGAATATTTTGTCTAATTAGTTCAGACTTGTACATGTTGAGTTTAAAACAGGTTTATTCATTAACGAATCAATTTTAGGACCCTGCCAAGAGTTTGGATTGTCTTAATTGTTCAACTTGACCTGTAAAGAAAGAAAAATTGATGACAGAAGAGATTTTTTGTAGTGGAAAAGAGAAGTTACATATAGACTTATATATGTTGAAACATTTTTTCAGATTTAATTAAGTATCATTACCATCTATTAATATATAACAACTACAGTTAATGTTGAAGTTAGAGGTAAACTTACTCCTCCACTAATTAATTATAATGCCATCTCATCTTTGGATGAGTTGAAGAGATAGTAATAATTTTTTTTTTAACCACACAAACAATACAAAAATGATGTACATGCATATTCAGGTTAGGTGGGTGTTTGGATTGGATACTTTTAGCTTTTTCATATATAACAAAAGGTTATGAGTTATAGTACTTAGCTAAAATTCAATTAATTTAAACTGTAAATTCCAACAAGTTGCTGATTGTTGGAAACAGGTTACGGATCTCATGTATCATTCTTAATTGCCATTGAACGTAGATTTATGCTATGAAATATCTGCCATATCTTTGCTTTGTTGCTTCTGCGACTCAAATTCAGGTGTATAATTCTAACAAGAATTTAGCTTTTATCCATAAATTTTTTCTCAGAACCTTGAAAAAATTTCCATTCGTGTCTTTGATTTTTTTTTATTTTTTTGGAATCTCGCCTTTTCAAAACTGTTTTTAAAAAAGTGGTTTAAGAACGAAAGAAGTTTTCCTGGAAATTCTTCTTCTTCTTCTTATTTAACAATCACAAATCGTTAAAAAATTAATCAGGCTGACCAAATATTAATTATAAGATCCCGGAGTCAAAAATGAAAAAAGAAATTTTAAAAAAAAAAGTAAATGAGAAGACCTAATCATTCAATTCAGCAAAATGAATTAAGTATGTTTTTGGGAAGCCATAATCGTTTTCCTACAATTTCGCCAAATAGGCAATTAACCTTACCAATCATTTCCATCTGCACTAGGATCTATTACAAAAAATTTAATAATTTAAAGTTGCCACTTTAAATGGTACGAGCTTCTTGCTCCAATTTTCTCTTATTCACAAAGTATAGAGTAAAATGGAAAATAGCTTTCTCACCTGCTTAACAAAAAAATCACAGAGCATCCATGCAGTCATTGATGGGATGTGGAAATCAGATTTCCTTTAATTAATTAACTGAAAATCCGTGGACTCTTAAAACACGATAAATACGTATCCGTACTACGATATTTATGCCAGATTCAATTTAACCTTTATAATTAAAATTATAGTAAAAATAAATACTAACTACTACCATTTAACAATGGCTAATTGACAAATGTGTGTATAAAAAATACTGTACACATCTTGCATTCATTTGTTTGATATCAATAAGTAAATTTTTTGATTCTTTAAAAAAGTATTGTCAGAACTCTCTATAACATCATCTCTATATAACAACCATTCACTATAAAAGTCAAATTTTTTCAGAAAAGATTTTTATGATATGTTATAATTTATGTCACCGCACCTCACTATAAAAGACAAAAAATATCAGAACAAACGAGGTTGTTATAGAGAGGTTTGACTGTACCTGCCGTCAATATTTATACATAATATTGTTTACCCAAAAAATGGATAGAGTTAAATTTGTGTATGATTCTAAGGATATGTGATATGATTTGATACAAATCGTATAGGGAAATAGAAATACGTGTATTCTTGACTATGAGAATGAGAATAGTGAAAAGAAGAACGAATAAGATCAAGGGCAGAAAATACAAAGGGATATCTTTTAATATGAGAAGAAATCTTTTTTTTAT